AAAAAAATAAAATTATTGTTGTGCAGTTTTTTTTATTTCAATCTTCATTTCTAGTATTGTACATTACAAGCTTAAAAATAATAAATCCTATGTTAAATGCATATATTTCTATAGTTAAAAGTGGCCACAGGTGCTGATCATGCCACATACTAGATGCTTTTTGTCTTGACGCTGAAAGTTAGTGATTCAGGAAAAAAGACAGTATAAAAAATAATATTAGTCAAAAAGTCCAACCCTTCAACACAAACTTGAGTAGTATTCAATTATTCCTTCACTTATTTATCAATTTATTCATTTATTTACTGACAATTTAAGATTTCAGTAAACTTACATTTTGGCAATGATTTTTAATGTTCTCAATGGAGAAATCAATACTGTACCTTATAAGTATACTTACCCTATAACAACTATAGTAAAATCTAAGATATTCCATCCATTCCGTAGATAAGCACCCTGATGGAACAGGAATCCATAGGCAATAATTTTCAATATGGCCTCTACAGCAAATATGATAAGAAACACGATTTCTACATTGTCCTGAAAAGAGAGGAAAAAAATCATATATACTATAAATAACTCTCAGGGACATTGTGGAAAACAATGCCATAAACAAAGCCAAAGTTCCTTCCAGACATCAATTTGTTTTAATAAATGCAAATCACACTCATTTCACATTATTCAAATTTGTTTATTTTATTCTCAATCCAAAATGTCCATTGCTACTGTACCACTTTCAAAAGCATAAAGCACTTTTTCAAGGACACCTTTACATGTAGGACAGACTGACCCTTCTTGGGCAACTGTCTCTCTGATAAAGCCCAAGATTCTGATGAAACCAAAGAGTCTGATGAAGCCCAAGACCATAGACCAGAAATGTAGTCCCTTCTATCTCTGAAGTTAGTCACTTGCTGTGCCCAGCTACCGACATTGCCATAAGTTGGCATTGGATGACACATGCTGCAAATGTATAGCTTAGCTAACTAATCAGTAACAAATCCCCACTCCCAAGAAGAAAGATTTAAAAATGGATTGACCTAACTTCAAGGTAAATGAGGCTCAAGTGAAATCATTTAGCCTCACCTGCTTTACTATTTTGTTTACAAAATGAATCTGTATTAACATCCACATTTTAGGGAACCAAACAAGAAACTATTATGCATTTTTAATTTTTCTTCTTCTTAAAAAAAAACCCAGTGAAAAGAAGGAAAGTCCACCCTTAATGAAATACTGTTTTAATATCATTCTTAACACCAGTAATGCCATGCAGATTATGGACATTTAACAGTTACCAAGTTCTCTTCATTTGCTTGTACTAGAAACAATTTCTTTACTCAATGGTTTTCATAAAGCTCAATGATTCAAGTAAAAACAATGTTTATCTATTTCACATTCAATGTGGACATTAGAAATGTTGTTAGTGCCCTTCTATATAGAGAATAAAGCTCACAACTAGGGAGAGCAAGCACATATCCTCATCATATCCTGTTTGAACTCTGAAATACATTCATTTCCATATGTTTTTTTTAACGCTTCCCCTCGCGCTCTAATACACCATAAATGCCACATTGTATGATCAACAAATAATTTTCCCTGCATTTGCTACCTCAGTTTTTAGCTGGCTTCCTGAAAATAACATCAATCAGCTATCTACCAGTCCAAATATTGACTGCAACACAGAGACAGATCAAATCTTAAAGAAGCGCAGACATTCATGCATTGGACGCAAGGCCAGTTCATACTGACAAATGTAAAGGGAACTTATTCATTGCCATTACTTTGAGAAATTAATCAATCATGCCTAAGTGAATGGAGATCCACTATAAAAGGGGTTCTAAAACAGCCTTGATGAACATGTGTTAACAACCCCTGGGCATTGTCACCAAAGAGAACACTTCCAGTTCTTATCTACCATTACCCATACAAATGCACCTTCAAATAAAAACTACTGAAATGTGCTTTAGAGCCACTTTTGTTCTGTTAGTTACAACCACTCACTGTTATGTCCACCAATGTAACTCCAAAACTGTTCCTCACCCAATTGTGGCCAGAGTGCTATACATGGTGTTTTTTTTTGTTTGTTTGTTTTTTTAATTACCATACTCCATAGTCATACTTCAAAGTACACATGCACTTCATCAAATCTCTAAGTGTCATGTGAATTTCATTGCATAATCCTATCAAAAAAATTACCCAAATAAAGGAGGAGAATTCAAAATAAAATTGCAAATATTTTAAGACTTCCATGTGATAAATGAGAAACATGAACTTCAATTTTGTATTCAAACACTGCATATAGATTACCAGATCTAAAAGTACCTTATTCAAGACAGGAAAACACAGTTTTCATCAAACATCCAACAACAGATGAGAATGTCACACTAATGTAAAAACAAAAAATTTGAATAAATATCCCCACTGGAACCTAAACTGTATACTCAACTAAAATCTATGATCAGAGTTTCACGTAATTTCATTAATTTCTTTTAAAAACAATTAATTTTTCAGATAATATTTGACAAATACAAGAATTTGCATCCACGAAAATTTGACACAGGCATCAAGTCCATGAAACAGTTATTTGTTCGCTGAGAACCAAGCAGAAAGAATATTCTCCATCAAGCACTGCCATTAGCCAATTTGTACTCATTATTATCAGCAAGTGACATGAAACCAATGGAAGTGCCGACTGCACACTACTTTCTCTCTGTCCCATAGGACACATAATGCCAAAGTATCTTAGTGCTTCTATCCTCATACTAGCAGCAATAACACACACAGTACATGCAAACCTAGGCCCAATACCATTAGACCACTTCTTTACACAAGATTTTTTCCTGCTCTTTGGGGCAAAAAATATACCAAAAGAACTTGAATGCAAAAAAAAAAAAAAAAAAAAAAATCTACGAACTACCATGGCAGATGAATAATGCTAAATAGTCTTACACCTGACACTTGTCAAATTAGATAATTCTGTGCTAAAACCTTGTGTAGGTACCAAGATGCGACATAATACCTTTTTAAAGGACAAAACAACAAAGATTCCACCAAGAATGTATTACCAAGAATATTGAACCAAACCATAATGCCTATTTACTCCCAGGTGTAAGCTTTGTTTTCGGTACAAGCGAACTCCAGAAGATCCGATTTTTTGTGGTCTCCAGACATATGAGTGCTCATTGTAGAAGCTAAATTTGTGTTTTAGAGTCGTTTTCAAATGTCAATTTTGGGCTGAAAGCGAACTTCTATGGAAAGATCAACACTTCAAGAGTTTACAGGCACCAAGTTTATATCTTGGAATAAATCAACTTTAAGACCGATCTTGGTTGAATTGAACATTCCTGGTAATACAGTCTTGATGTCATCCACTTCTAAAAAACAGGAACACAGACAAAAAAGGTTCTGGTGTTGTAGGGGGAGGGGAGCAAGCACCTGACTTTGACTAGTAAACCACTGGCATTTAAAGATAGTCTCATAACTATGCACTATTGATAAGCACAGATCCAGCTCCTTTACAACACAACTATATAATACATTAATTCATTTTATAATAAGGCTATGCAGTATACAGGTCTAGCTGGCCTCATCTCCCCGAAAAAAACACAAGTTTCTCTTTCTACAAGTGATAGGTATTTGTGTTACCATACATAGCCAAGGGTGCTGTAGTGATGTTTTTATTATTTAGGCCCATTAGGTGACTGTGGTCAGTTGGGCAAAAAATGACCGCCTTTGCTGTTGGTCAAGTGCAGCCAGAAGTTAAGGTAATTCTTGCTAGGTGATAAAGTTCCATTCATGCTTAAAATTACTTCCTTTCTTTGGATGCCAGGAAGGTAATGGCTTCAGCTTCTCCCCAGGTACTCTTAATAGTATATGTCTACAAGACTATACCAATATGGGTCATAAAATTTAATAACTTCTGGACTAATGTCTCTTTTTTTCCCATATTTTGCACACGTCTCACTTGGCATGTGCTAGGCAAAAGATCATTAACCTGGAGCACCAATGTAAAAAATCTCAGGGAGATAAAAAAAAATCATAGAAATTAAACTTGCGGTTCCTTTGGCCTCATCAATGCCCAACTATTCCATTATTTGGCATTTTAAAATCAAAATCCCCAAAATTATAAACAAAACATTACTTTGGAAAGCACCACTGTGTTCAAATCTAGTGAGAGATTAGTGTACATCATTTTAAAGGAAATCCTGAGTTTCCTCACCTTATATACAAACACCTTATGTGTACCCTTGAGGCATTTCTATCTAGGTGCAAAACGATAAGATTTTGCCAATTAACTTATCGTGTATAAACTATTAAAAAGTGACATCCTTCTCCTTGCTATCATTTAAAACATTTTGATAAGATATATGAGCAGAAGATTGGGGCAATGCCAGATCTACGGTATGTCTGGGGTTTTCTAAGAGATCCCAGACCCCAGCAAGGATGTGCTAAGGTCAGAATTTTTGCTGATTAAATAAAATTTTAGACCTTGATATTTTATGTTTTATAACAGTCTATAATATATTATCTTAAACTGGCTTAATCCAGAAAATAATTATGATATCAATAAATACAAAAAGTGTTAGGAATAATCTTGTTTTAGTGTTCTGATGTGATTTCATGCTCCCAAACTTTATTGAGCGTAACTTTGAAAGCACTCATTTAAATGAAATCTATAATATATTCTACCTAGTTTGTCCAAGTTGCACTTAATGAACAACAAGCAACTAGAAAAGCACTCCGAGAGCGCAACCTCCACCAAGGCAGCAATTATTTTTGATTATTTTCAATTATTGATTGATTTTGATCCAGATCACCACCACAAACTAATCATCTCTTCCTTGGCCCACTTCTGACAGTTCCTGAAAATTTCATCAAAATCAGTCCATAACTTTTTGAGTTATGTTGATGACAGATGGACAAACAGACAAACAGGGGTGAAAACATAACCTCCTTGGCAGAGGAAATGATGGTGAAAAGGTAAAATTGTTTCTAGAGACACACTATATATCATCTTTTTTTAATCTAAGAGGCAAGATATTACAAACAATCAAATCAAACAAAAAAAAACAAATAAAACCATCAGCCTATGATTTTAGCCATCATTACATAAGCAGCAATAATCAACCTTTTGCACCAAACTATTTGTAGACATTTAAAATTGTACACTTTTAAAAGTAATATTCTGTAAAGGAAGTGATTGAATCATGATTGTTCACTAGCCATCTTGGAAGGAAAAGGAAAGATTCATTTTCAGATCTTAAAACCAAGTGAAGTCTCCTGTACAAGCTTTTTTGCTTTTCTGGGCAACATTGTTCTCAGAATGTCTTCACATGTATCCCCAGTACAAAAATAAACCGTATCTGAAATAGTGCCATTGCTCCAGTCCAGCAGTGGCCCACCTGAGCACTGCTACACTCTATATCCACCTAACTTATCTATCACAAGGCTGAACAGGCTCATTCCTCAAGCCAGCCAACAATGTCAATCCAACTAGTATAGAACTGATTTCCCTTTGACACTGGGCCTTACTGTACACAGGA